AAAGCTTTGATTTGCCCTCCTTTTCACAGTCAATGTTCCACACCAAGGTTTAAACTGAATGTATCCTTACTGTATTTGCCCCGTGGTAGCCATGTGCCCCGTGGTAAGTCTATTCACTTCCTAAATCTCAGCTGGCCTAGTTCTTAAGTGGGGTATAGTAATGCTACTTGTATAAAATGCTTGAGGATTGAACAATGCAGGCACAGTGCCTAGGAGGGGGCTGTGGGCTCGGTGGGACTCAGCAAGCAGGTTGGCCTGTGTTCTGAGGATGCCCAGCTTACCTGCTTCTCTTTTCATCCCTGTCATGTCCTTATAACTTAATAAAATACCAGGCAGCCACTTCATACCATGTCTCTTAAGCCACACTATCCAAAGAACTTTCCAACATGATGGAGATAAGCTGTATCTCCATTGTCCGACACAGTGACCAGTCCCCATCTGTGTGTTGAATACCTGAAATGCAGCTAGAGCAACTGATGAGCTCATTTAGTTTAAATTTATTACACGTGGCTAGTAGGACCCGTACTAAGGTAATACCTGTATCGGTTCTCAGCCTCAGCTGCCCATTATTTTCACCTGGGGACCTTTTCAGACTCCAGATGCCCAAAACAATTAAATTAGCCTCTCAGTATTTTTAACTATGGTCTCTGAGCAACTCTAATGTGCAGCCAAAGTTGAGAACCACTGCTCTAAAAGCATGCCTGACAAACGATTGTGCTTATAAACCACCAGAGGGTCTTATTAAATGCAAATTCAGAGCCACAGATCTGAAGGAACAAGACGCAGAGAAGCAGGTGCTGCTGGCTCCTGGGCCACACTGAGCAGTTTCCATCCCGTTTCCATTCCAGTGAGGGGAGATATAGATAGGAGGAAAGCAACTTCAAATAGCAATGCATGTTTTGGGATAAATGAAATAGGGTCATAGGTATGTACTGTGTCTACTTTCATTTTAAGGAGGTGGATTTTTAGCTTTTTGCTTTAAAGGGTCTATAAGGTGAAGCTGTGGAGAAAACATGCTCTAAGGAGAAGAGGGAACAGTAATTCTGAGGTCCCCGAGGCAAGAACAAACCTAACAGAGGAATGAGGACTGAAGAGAGGCACAACGTAAAAACAGAGGGCAAGGTCCATGGTCGAGGCAAGAAGTCTAGATTTTATTCTAACTGAAATTAAAAGCTGTGGCAAGGTCTAAAGGATGAGATTGATGTAATGTGATTTCCATCAAAATCATGCCTAATTAATGATCTGATTTTTTTATGGCTCTTCACACTATCATCTAGTTGCTAATTCTTTTATTGCCTTTGATGTCTACCCCACATACACCTTGCAAAGTAAGACAAAAACGTGATCTGTAGGTATAAGAAGAAACTGATTCCTTTTTATTTGGGAGGAAAGCCCAGCTCAGATGATAACATCTCAGAGAAGCTGAGACAGAGACCTGGACATTGTTTACAGCAGGCAAGTACTTCGGTGGTCTTACAGACGTTTCGATGAACGACCGCGAGGGGTGGTGTTCAAATTTTACCAACCTTCATTCTGCTAGATTCTTTTGTCCTTTTTCTTTTTCATCGACTTTATTGGTACTTTTTAAGTACACAGTACAGTTACATTCATGGTTGGGATCTTGTACCTTTACATGACAGGTCTTGGTTCTCATTTTTCCCCACCCCCCGGCTCTCCCTTCACCTGCTTCATCCTCCCCTATTTACAAAGACTTTGTTTCCATTTTTCCTGTTTGCTTATTTTTTCTTTTCCCTTATTTCCTTTCCCCTGCCCTTCCCACTTCCCCTACAGCTTTAGCCCTTTTCTTCCTATTTCACATTATCAGTCATACAATTTGGATCTTATTTACACTTTTAGTTTTTCACACCAGAGAAACTATTCGGTATTTACACATGCGTGTCTTATTTATTTCACTTAAGAGTATGGCCTCAATATGTATCCATTTTCCAACAAGTGACCTAGTTTCTCATTCTTTATGGCTGAGTAGTGTTCCATTTGTAGAAAAACCACATCTTCTTTATCCAGTCTCCAACTGTGGGCAGTTGGGCTGTTTCCAAGTTTTAGCTACTACAAACTGTGCTGCTATAAACATGCATGTGCAGATATCACTGTGGTATGATTCTTTTAATTCTTTTGGAAAGATACCCAGCAGAGGGATGGCTGGGTCAAATGGAGCCTCTAGTCCTTGTTCTCTGAGGTATCTCCATATTGATTTCCACAGTGGTTGTACCAGTCTGCACTCCCACCAACAATGGAAAAGGGTTCCTTTCTCCCTACAACCCCGCCAGGATTTGTTATTGGTTGATTTCTTGATAGCAGCCATTCTTACTGGGGTGAGGTAGAATCTCAGTGTTGTTTTCATCTGCGTCTCTAGAATGACCAGTGATGTTGAACATTTTTTCACGTATTTATTTGCTGCTTTTACTTGTCTGAGAAGTGTCTGTTCATTTCAGATGCCCATTTTTGAATCCGGTCTTTTATGTTTGGGAGGCCTGATTTGTTGAGTTCTTTATATACTCTAGATAATAGACCTTTGTCTGAGGAGCAGTTGGTAAAAATTTTTTCCCACATTGTAGGCTGTCTCTTAGCTCTGTCGATGGTTTCTTTTGCAGTGCAGAAGCTTTTTCATTAGATGAGATCCCGGTTGTTCTTTGCACTAGTTCCTGTGCTACTGAGGATTTGTTCACAGTCTTTTCCTCTGCCAATGTCTTCGAGAGTTCTGCCTAACTTATCTTCCGGCAAATTTAGTGTTTCTGTTTTAATATTTAGATCTTTAATCCTCTTGGATTTTAGTTTAGTACATGGTGAAAGATAAGCATCTACTTTTAATCTTTGGCAGGCTGAAATAGTTTTTCCAACACCATTTATTACAGAGGCTATCTTTCCTCCAGTGAGGGTGGTTGGCTCCTTTGTCAAAGATGAGGTAGCTGAGTATTCTGCCAGATTCTTGCCTTATGCAGCACCAGGACCTCTAGCACAAGAATTGAAGTACAGCAGAGCATTTGGGTCAATTTAATTACGAACTGTGCTGTAGCTAACATGGGTGTGTATGTATCACTATGGTATCATGCTCCCAATTCCTTCAGGAAGATACCCAGAAGGGGAACAGCTCGGTCCAATGGTACCTCTAATGCTAGTTTTCTGAGGAACCTCCACACTGACTTCCACAGTGGTGGAAACAGTCTGCACTCCTATCAGCAGTAGAGAAGGGTTCCTTTCTCTCCACTGTCCCTCTAGCATTCGTATGGATTTCTTGGTAATAGCTACTCTTTGCCGGAGTGAGATGGGATCTCAGCATTGTTTGTTTTTCCAGTGTTGTTTTAATGTGCAGCTCTCAAACAACCAGTGATATAGAACCCTTTTCATATACTTGCCATTTGTACTGCTTCATCCTGTGTGCATTCATTTCAGATGCCCAAACAACCCAAATGCCCGTCAACCAATGGATAAGAGCTAAGGTTCTTGGGGCCGGGGATTTAGCTCAGTGGTTCTGCCACCTGCCTCCCAAGCACAAGGGCCTGAGTTCGATCCCCGGTACCAACACCCCCCACTAAAAAGATATGGTTCTTTTAGACAACAGAGTACTACTCAGCCAAAGAAGAATAAACTTGCAACCGGTCTATGTAAACTGATGCACCTTGAGACCATATTCTTGAGTGAAATCGACACACATGTAAAAATCAGTCTCTCAGGTGTGAGAAACTGAAACTGTAAATAAGCACCAAAATGTATTATAGATACTGTAAAACAGGAAGAAAATGTTCAAGAGGAAAGGGGAACTAGGGAAGGGAGAGGGGGAAAGGAAGGGAATAGTAGAGGGGGGAAAAAAAGACATTTCCCAGGAAAATAGCTGGATAACACAGCTTCCCAAACACAAGGAGACCTGGACTCTTGCTTAAGTCAGTGTTTCCCTCAGTGTGTTCTATGTTTGGATCTGAAACGTTCCCCACTCATTGGCCCCCAGAGCAGCAGTGTTCAGAAGTGGGGCCTTTGGATGTGACTGGATCAGAGGTCTCTGACCTCATTAGTCCACTGACAAATTCAGTTTGATGGAATATTGGGAGGGGACAGAAACTATGAAGTGGGCCTCTTTGGAGGAAGCAGGTTATTGGTATTGTGCCTTGGAAGGTCTGTATTACACCTGGCCCCTTCCTCTCACTCTGCTTCCTGGCTGCCATGAGGTGAGTAGTTTCGTTCCCTCACCCCCTTCTGATGTTCTCCCTCACCACAGGCCCAGAAACAATGGCGTTAGCCAACCATGGACGGAAACCTCTGTAAGCAAGAGCCAGGTAAATCTTTGCTCTTTTATCTCAGCATTTTGTCCCAATGACAGAAAGCCAAAAGCCAACAGAGTATGTTTTGTATGTGTTAAGTATTGTAAGTGGTCCCTATATGTGACTGCTTCCTTGGGAATTGGGTCTAATTTTTTATATGTAATGGCACAGTCCAGGTCTGTCATATAACCTATGCTAATCCTCTTGCTCCAGATCGTGCACAATGCCTAGTACAGCATAAATGCTATGAAAATAGTTGCCGTGCTGCATTGTGTGCAGAATAATGATGAGGAAGTCTAAACGTGTTGAGTATGCTTTTTGCGTGTGTGGTGCCAGGGCTCGAATCCAGGCCTTGCACATGTGACACAAGTGCCCTGCCACTGAGCTACATTCCCACCATACTGATCCATTTTTTAAGTTTCAAATATGTTCGCTCTGCAGATGTGAAACTCATACATATAATGGCTGGCTGTATTCTTATGAGACACTTCATTAACAGGTAACTTTTCTCAGGTAAACCCGTTCAATTCTTTAACTTTGTGAAATAGCTAATGACAGCTGGAACACACTTTGGACCACGCAGGGGTGGGGTAGGCTGAATAATGGCTCCCACAGTCATGGCTCCTTCTTAATTCGCAGAACTTTTTCTGAGACAGGGTCTCATTATGCAGCTCAGACTGGCCTTAACTCACCATGTAGTCCAGCCTGGAGTTAAACACGGAGATCCTCCTGCCTCAGCCTCTGAAGTGCTGGGATTACAGGTGAGTATCACCATGTCTGGTCCAAAACTTTTTTGAAATCAATCTATCCATCCATCCTTCCATACTTCTATTCCCTCTTCCTCCTTTCCTCCCTTTCTCTCTCTCTTGCTTTGATACAGGGTCTCGCTATGTAGTTTAGACCAGCCTTGAACACACGATGTAGCCCAGGCTGGCCTTGAATGCTAAAGCATTGAGGAGACCTCTCGACACAAACCATGACAAGGTTGTTTACTAACCATTCCCTACAGGGAGGAAGAGAGCAGGGCCACTGAACAGCCTGAACGTCACAAGGGTCTGACAGCTCTGCCAGGTGGCACCGCCTCTAACATGGGAAGAACAAAGGGTGGATGCCCTGCGTGCTCACGGCTCCCTCTGCCCAGTGCTTTCAGCCTCCGTCCTGCTCCAGCCCCAAGATGTGAGGAGTTCCAAAACACACAATAGGATTAACAATGCGATTTTATTTCCACTATACTACACACTGGCATACAAATAACTTGTCCATTTATTTTTCTATTTTCACTTCCAATTTGTGCATTTAACAGGAACTAAGACAGCAAGCTATAGTTCCAGGACTGGAGACACATTTTCTTCATTGCAGCAGAATGGAACCAAAGTGCTTACTACAGCAAGTTCTGACCCCTGCAGAATTTGACCCTGTCAGTATCTAATCTTTTCTCTGTTCCAGTCGTCAGCTTTCTCAAAGGAATGATAAGAGACCAAAAAAGAAACAAAGGTAAATGAGTAGAAATTAGCGCTACTGATTCTACTAGGAATCTACAAAGGAACAAGGTCCTTAGCTAGAGAGTTAACGTTGCATCAGCTGTGTGGAAGATGTGTAACACTGGTTATGCTCTACCTGTTAAACCACCTGTTCTCCGGAAGCATGCTGCTAACTTTTAAAGATTTCACAGAAATTTGCTGTCAGAAAAATCACAACTATCTTAATTCCTATCTAAGAGGCACTTGTGCACAGTGTCAGTTAGGAAGGTGACTGAAAGATGAAGAACACCATCAAGCCACATTTCAATCTGAATGACCAAAGTCTGGATTGAAGTGGTCATCAGTTATCCTGCCATGTCAAGATGCCAACTTGACTTATCCCACAGCCTGGCTTCAAAAAGCAGACTCCACATCACCCATCTCCACGCACACAGTCTTCAGCTGTGAATAATATTCAAGTGTCACACGGCCATTCTCTCTGCCGAATCCTGAAAAGAAGGAAAGGGGCCAGGGTGAGCCATAGCTACAACTGTCTGAAAAGTCACTGTGCACCGCTTCTCAGCGTGGGAGAGGAGGGACCCAGACCCCAACACTTCTGGATAAATCCCTTCCCCCATCCATCAGCTGGGCAGTGCCGGGGGGAGCAGGACCCACTGGTCCTGGGAACCAGCACAGGAAAATACACAGGTCTCATTTCTTAGCAATCTGTGACTGAATTTCACGGATCCACTATTCAGGGTAAAGATTTTTTTTTTTAATGTTTGGGTTTTTGTTTCCTTTGCCTTTTTGTTGTTGTTGTTAGGATAATCTGTTCAACGTGTTAAATCAGTCTCTAACAGCCAACCCTCTGGCCTCGAAAGGGGTTGCTAATTTAAAACTTAACTCTATGTAATAGGTTCATTAAATTTTCACATTAAGCCCTCAAGTGCACTGCCCACTATGACAGGAAGACCTCCTGGAGGTTCCTCTGATGACACTGTCCCATTGAGTACATTCGGTTACTGTGGTAACAGAACGGGCTCCACGCTAGTCCTATCTTCTGCACTGCCCCAGACTTAGCCAGTTCCTCAAAAAGCACTTATTCTGTGGTGCTGTTCAAATGGCAGCACACACACAGGTCTGGATGAGACCTAGCTCTCCTTGGCAAGTCTCTGCGCAGAGCTGGTTAGCAGGTTAGGGCAGGCACGGCTCTACAGCTCTAGCTGTTTCTCTTCCTCATTCTATGCAGCCTGGTCCAAGGGAACCAAAAAGTGGCCTGGGACACCCCACCTCCCAAGCTGCAGATTCCAAGCATATTTTCCCTGTGCTGAAGGTGAGACCCAAACACAAGGGCCCCACACTCCCCACCTGAGTCTGTGCCTATGCGAGCAGCTCCTCTGGGCGCCCCCTCCCGCTCGGTAGGGAGTGCCAGGATAATACTAAACGCCAGGTGAGGCTGGCAAGTTAACACTGCCATCTATCTCATCAGTGTTCAGCAGGGTTTATGTATTTGCCAACTCTGTGACAGCTGTAAAATTTGCCACAGTGGCCAGGGTAAGATTCTCAGAACGATGGTTCTAGAAGACCACGCTATTCTGAGTCTAGATGAAGAGCAGTGAAGGAAACTAATGAACACCTATACGCAAGAGACTTTAGGGGAAGAAGCTCCGTTCCTGCTGCGTCCACCTGCTGACATGTTACACGTGCACATGTCACACTGAGGTGACAGGTGACCGTGAAAGTGGAACATTTCCACAGCCACCAACTAGGGTGGTGATGGTTATAACTGACAGACTATTACTAGGGCTGGGGGTGTAGCTCAGTGGTACCGTACCTGCCTGACAAGCATAAGGTCCTGAGTTCAATCCCCGGTACCCCGCCCCAGAAACAGATTATGATTAATTTGGCCTCACAGAGAAAACAAAATAACCTAAGCTTTCTGGGACATTACTCTGAAGACACTCTGCCTAAACCCTGTTGACGGACAATGCCTCAGATGGAACTCCTGGAGGAAAGGTTTTATGTTCACTGTCAGCACAGGCGCTGCCCGCATCATGAACCTTCTTGAGATGTGCATGAGCAGTTCACAAGCCACATGGAGATGCCTGGCTCCATTCCCAGAGACTCCAGGGCATAGGGGGAGCACCGGGACTCTAACAGGCAGAGAGGATAGGGAACCCTGGTTGCCCTGGACACCTGGTTTGCTGACACTCTGGCCAGCTCCTCACCTGACTTCTTATATCCCCCGAAGGGCAGCTCCACGGGGCTGACGTTGTAGTTGTTAATGTAGCACGTTCCTGCCTGCAGCTCGGCCACCACTCTGTGAGCCCGCTGGATGTCCCTACCAAGGGAAGCATACCCCGTTATTACTCCTTTACTAGGAAGAGTCACGGTCCAGTTTTAAGGGTGCCAAATCTGCCAAATGTTTGAAAACCTTTTATTATTCAGGTAAAATAGGCACAGACTTCCGATTCACAGTACCCTCTGAAAGGAATCTACAAAACCAACAGGAAGGAACAGGGTGCCACGACGAGCCAGGGAGGAAAAACAGTCTCCGACAAATGGTGTGAGCACTCGATACCTACATGCAGAACAGTAAAGCAGAATCCCATGTTTCATACTCTACACAAAAATCCATCCAAGTGTATCACAGATCTAAAATGACGGAGTGAAAACTGTAAGAACTCTTGGAGGAAAAAACAGGAATGTGTCCTTATGTCTTTGGGTTAGACAAACCCTCTTTGGCTGTGACACCAAAAGTAACAGACCACACACAAAAAAAGAATATTACAGTTTATTAAATTTTTTAAAAAATTTGTGCTGCACAGAAGATAATCAAGAAAGTAAAAATAAGCTGGGTGTTATGGCTCACACCTATAATCCCAGCACTTGGGAGGCTGAGATAGGAGAATCATGAATTTGAGGCCAGTTAAGGCTACATAGCGAGGTGTAGGCCAGCCTACATTATGTACTGAAACCCTGTCTCAAAAAAAGGGAGTAAAAATAAAATCCACAAAAATGAAAATAAAATGGGCTAACAAGGGTGAAAAGAAACTAGAACCTTTACACATTGTTAGTAGGAATGTAAAGTGCTACTGCCCTTTTGAAAACCCAGTTAATAGTATTTTTAAAAAGTTAAGAGTTAAAAGTTAAACACAAAGTTGCCAAATGATTCAGTAATTTTACTCCTAGAAGTATATCCAACAGAAATGAAAATACATGTTCACACAAGCTGGGCATGGTAGTGCACACCTATAATCCCAGCACTCTGGGAGGCTGAGGCAGGAGGATCACAGGTTCAAGCCTAGCATGGTCAGCAATAATGACTGAGTAAGATCCTTTTTCAAAATTTAAAAAAATTTTAAAAGGGGCTGGAGGTGCAGCTCAGGGCAAAAGCCTGAGCTCAATCCCCAGTATCACCAAAAATACCCAAAAAATACATAAATGCATAAAAAAACATGGTATGCCCATACAATGGCAGAGCATTCCAGAAAGGAATGACGTGCTGATACATTGCTCCAGAGTACGTGAACCTTGAAACACGAATACAGGTGAAGGAAGCCAGTCACAAATCACGTTATATGACTCATTCATATAACATTTTTTTCCAGAATTGGCAAACCCATAGGGACAGACGGTAGATTAGTGGTTGCCAGGGATGGAGAGGAGAGGGAATGGTCAGTGACTATTTCGCTGTTTTGAGACAGGGTCTCAGTAGGTATTCCAGAGCATTATGCAGCCCAAGCTGGCCTGAAGCTCATAGCAATCCTCCTGCCTCAGCTGGGATTACAGCCATGCACCATCATATCTGGCCAGAAATAACTATTAATGGGCACACAGTTTCTTCTTAGGATGAAGAAAAACACACTGAAAATATTCTAAATTGGCTTACAGTGCTAGTTGCACAGTTCTGTAAATAAACTAAACACCACTGAAATGAGTGAATCGTGTGGCATGTGAATTACCCCACTAGAGCTGTTAAAAAGAAAAGGTAACTGCATATTAGAATTACCTTCTGTGTGTACTGAGGTGGCAAAGTCAAACAAGAGTACTCAGCTCTCTCCATTCACAAATTTATAAAGCTAAGTCCCAATCTTTTCTTCAGCCCTGAAAGGAAGCTATCATTATCAGGGCCTGGAGAGAGCCTTGGGCTTTCCTTCCAGGTCTCTGACCACAAAGCCACAAGAAAACTGACTTCGGGGTCACCAAACAAACAGCATACTTCCCAGTGCAAAGCATCCTTAGAAAACTGCCTAAGACTAAGCAAAGTTTGTATGTAAACAAGAAGTATGCAGGCATCTTCAAATAAATTTTGCTCCCAAATCATCTTTTCCCTTAACATTTATGTATAAAAATTAGTCACATTACTTACAATAGTTAAAACTGAAACAGTGTTCTAAATATCCAACGGAAGAAAAAATGCTTACATGAATGTCAATACATTTCAACGATAAACTACTCGAATGTCACTAAAAAGCATGCTTTTCAAAGAGCAGAATTTACACACTTACGGGTTTCCAAATAGCCCAAAGCTTTACATAGACCACTACCTAAAATATTTATTCAATCAATGAACAAGAGGCCACAATCAACAGTTTATAGCTCAGCTTAAATGTGAGCAGGGTCCTCTGGCCATTTGGGGCAACTACAAAGTGCTATTCTGGCATCTTCTGATTTCAACTGAAGCACACACAACACGCCGATGGCTCTAAGCGAGGGAGAGTCCAGCGAGGAGTCAGATCCACTACACATCTAGGCAGACCCTGCGGCCCACCCGGAAGCCACCGCCACGTCCTCCTCCACATACCTGGTAAACACGCCAGCTGCGAGTCCAAACGTGGTGTTGTTGGCTCGTTCCAGAACCTCGGCTTCCGTGTCAAACGGCAAAATGGACATGACTGGTCCAAAGATCTCTTCTCTCACACAGGTCATGTCATCTCTGCAATTAGCTACAAACATTTATTATAAAATCCAAAGTCAGTGAAATCTCTGCAACTTAAAAATGCCTTCTTCCCAGTAAATCCACAACTAGAAAAAATTCAGTATGGCACTGCCAGTGAACACTGCAGGCAACTTAACATATGTATGAAACAAGCACAGACTGTACAATTCCAGATCCACCTTTTTAAATTCTTCCTAAGGAAATAGCTAATGAGGTGACAAGGATCTATTTACAAGGACATTCGCCACGACCTTACTGAAAATAGTGAAAACAGGAAGCAATAAACTAAGCATCCAAGATATAAGAAATGATCGCATGAACCATGTACTTCCTCACGATAAACTTTCATGAAGCTTCCAAAAGTAATTAAAAAAAAAAAAGATGGTGTAAATGTTCATGATAAAACACTAAAAATGACATAAAACTGAATACAACATCACCCCGACTTGTTAAAATGTTATGTGCATAATTGCTTTTGTGTTTTTTCACATTTTCCTAATGTGAGAGGACAAGGGGCAGGGGAGGAAAGAGGAGAGGGGAAGGGAGGGAGAGGAGCAAGAGCAGGAAGTGGAGGGGAGGAGGACTTGAGGGAGTATTCACTGCACATAAAAACATATTTAAGCTCCTTTAAGTGGCTAATCCGCTGAAATGATTTAATTCACACTTGACACTTTAAAGTACGCGTATCAAAAAAGCTCAGATATCGGATGTCCAAAACTGAACCCCAAGGAGTCTCAAAGAAATGAGTACATTTATTCAATCTGCACTGTACCTGAAGAACAGCTTCGCTCAACTTTGGCAATCACTGCACGGAGTGAGACACGCTGTTTGTAAGGTGGTGTTATACATGCAGACAACGTGGGGCCGAAGAAGAGATTGAGGACCCTACTAGAAACCCCAACTCTGTACTAGCCAAAGACTGAAAACCAACTACCTCCTGAGCTGTAACGATGACTAAAATCTCTTGGGATTTATAAGGTGCTACCCTATATATAGCATGCTGCTCACCACCAGTGAGTTATGATGTGCTCTGGAGTCATCTGAAATTTTTTTTCCTTGGTTTTTGAGACAGGGTCTCACTATGTAGTTGAGACTGACCTGGAACTCACTATGTAGCCCAGGCTGGTCTCGAACTCATAGCGATCCTCCTGCCTCAGCCTTCCAAGTGCTGGGATTACAGGCGTGCACCACCACACCTGGCTCATCTGAATTATTTTGAAAGATAAATTAAGAAATACTTAGGATGTGTTTAAAAATAGTTTACCATATTCTAATGATTTGAAAATAATCTACATATAATTTTGAGGAAAACCATCAGCCAAGAATTGAATTACTCAAAACCATTTTTGTTACCCAACAGTCCCAGAAAATATGTTATCATCTTATACAGGCTGATAACACAGGATAACTCTAGGAGCAGTAAGAGCTACGCTGGGGAATCAAAAGAGAGAAAGGCACAGTGCCGGGGAGTTATCTCAGTGGCACCACATCCACCTCGCAAGTACAAGGTCCTGAGTTTGAAACTCAGTAACAAAAAAAAAGAGAGAGAGAGATGAGGGTATAAAAAAGCAGCAGCTGACATGTAAGGACATTGTATAGGTGTGTGCCATCATGTCCAGCTCAAACCAGAAGATTTTTAAAATTGACAGATGTGAAAAATTATGAAATTTCATAATTTTTAAAAGACTAACATATTATCTAACAAAATGAAAAACATTCTTTTCTTGAGGAATTAAATTCATTAAATTTTTATCAAATACAAACTTGCAGCCACACATGGCGGCTCACTCCTCTAATTCCAGCACTCTGGAAGGCTGAAGCAAGACGATCTCAAGTTTGAGCCCAGCCTGGGCAGTTTAACAACTTAGTGAGACTCTGGTTCAAAACAAAGAAATTTTTAAAAGGTTGAAGATGCAGCTCAGTGCAGAAGCCCTGGGTTCAATCCCCAGTTCTGCAAAACAAAACAACCCTATGCACTTCCTTTTTTATTTTTCACTTTCATTGTTTTGTTCTCCCTGCTTCCAGGACAATACATGTCCCCAGCAAACTAAGACTATGGCTTCTCTAACAGGAGGGCACCCAGAGGGCTTCAAAGTTGATGGGGGCCCTTCTACTTTTTAAACCTAAGTGATGGAACACATGGTTTGCCAGCCCTTGCTTAATACTACATATCTATTTCATAAATATTCATTCCTATCTACTCAGTATTTAATTCAAATCACTTAAAAGCAAACAAGAAGACATACTCAATATACAAGGTCTCATGTAGTATCCATCTTTTAATTTGGGATCCTCAGGTACGTACAGGTCTCCACCATATAACACCTTAGCACCCTGCCAAAGAAAGGAAAATGGATGTGTCTTTTGCATTAAACATACAGCCCTACAGCATTCCTGAAAGGTTACGTGTATCCTGAACAAACCAAAAGACAGGGAGCAGGGCACTGCTCAGGGACACTTCCAGCCAGTGCATAGCAACACAGGAAAGGGCACAGGACAGTGACAAAGGGCAACCAACCCTTCCCTCACCCTGCCCAGCTTCTGCTCACTTCTCACCTGCTCCTTTGCTGACTTCACAAAGCCAAGGACTCGCTCCAGGTGCGGCCGGTTGATGAGCGGACCCATTCTTGTACCCTCCAGAAGGGGATCTCCAATTTTTATCTTCTGGGTCTGCTTCACCACTTCTTCGGTGAACTTATCAATAATTTCCTTTTGCACAAATACCCTTGTGCCATTACAACAAACCTAAAGGACAGATACAAGACATAAATATGCATATGGGGCAAAGAGTGAAAGGGAGAAAAGTAATCTAGTAACTTTAAACTTAAAAGAGGCATGCCATGTTTTTTTAAAGGGTATTTTCATTTTTAAAAATTGTCCAGCCAGGAGTAATGACACACGCCTGTAATCCCAGCATTCGGGAGGCTGAGGCAGGAGGATCGCTGTGAGTTCAAGACCAGCCTGGGCTACATAGTGAGTTCCAGGTCAGTCTCAACTACATAGTGAGACCCTGACTTAAAAAAACCAAAAAAAAAAAAAAAATTGTCCATCCTGAGATGGGAGTGGTGGCACACACTTGTAATCCCAGCACTCTGGGAGGCTGAGGCAGGAGGATAGAAAACTCGATCCCAGCCTGGGAAACTCAGTGACCTAGAGAGAGTCCCTGACTCAAAAAAAAAAAAATAAATAAAAATAGCTGGGGATGTAGCACACTGCAAAGGCACTAGGTTCAATCCCCAGTACTGCAAAAAAATCAAATCAAATAAAACTTGTACCAATACTGAATAGAAAGGATTGTATATGTAATTTTGTGCATACCACCAGCAAGCATAAAAGTTAATTCCACCTTTGTTTAAATTTTCTTAAGGCCATCAGTGGGTCTATAAGACCCAGGACCTCCCCTACTTCCTCCTAGCAGCTGCTCATCTGCTGTGTAGCTCAAGGGGAATGGGAGGAGCTTCAGGAATAAGAGTGGAGGAGAGACAGCCAGGCACGGTGACTGTAATTCAGCATTTGGGAGGCTGAGGAAAGATCTCTAATTTGAGGCCAGCCTGGACTACAGGGTGAGATCCTGTTTCAAAACAAACAACAAGAAAAGGTTAGGTGCTACAGTCTTACACCTACTTCTGAAAACTAGGCATTTCAGTGCATGTGTCTATAACTGCAAATAATCACTATTTAGATGCCCCATAAAAATGAACATAATACTGCTCAAAGGCTGCCAGAACAGAACAGAAAAGTCCAAAAACAGATCCCAGTGCTCATGGACACTTAGTTCATGATAACGATGGAAGCCCAAAGATGAACTAAATAACCCACTGTGCTGGACAGCAGGTTATCCACATGGAAGAGGGAACAGGATATTCCTCTCATGTCAAACAGGAGAATAAACTCTAAATGTATCAAGAACCTAAGCAAGAAATGTAAAACCAAACCATCATCAAATATAAGTAATGTCTCTATAGCCTAGCTACAAGAGTTTTTAACTACTGCTCAAAATCTACATACAAGCCAGGCGTAGTGGTGCGCACCTGTAATCCCAGCACTTGGGAGGCTGGGGCAGGAGGATCACTGTGAGTTCAAGGCCAGCATGGGTACACTGTTGGAGCTTGCCTCCAAATAAAACAAAACATTAAAAAAATCTAGGACCGTGGATTTAGCTCAGTGCTGCTATCGCCTGCCTGGCAAGTGCAAGGTCCTGAGTTCAATCCCCGGTACTAAAAAGTAAAATTAAATTAAATTAAAAATCTACATAGAATGAAAGAGAAACATTGATAAATTTAACCACATAAAAATGTTTTAAAAGACAGGGTGCAATGGCACCTGCTTATAATCCCACCACTTAGAAGGCTGAGGCAGGAGAATTATAGAATCAAGGCAAGCCTGGCCTACACAGCAAGACTGCCCCTCCACCCCCAAATTGCTCTAAATAAATCCAGACAATCGAAAAACTGAAAATATTTGAAACACTGATATAAGATAAACTGTTAATGTTACAAATACTTAAAGAGCTTTTCAAATTGTGAACTTCATATAAAGAAGATAAGAATTCCATAAAACATGGGCCAAGGATTTAGCTCAGTGGCTGCATGTGCAAGGTCCTGAGTTCGATCCCCGGTACCAAAAAGCAAAAAAGCAAAAACACTACACAAAACATAAAGAAAAAAAAACAAATTTCAAATAGAAAAGTAGGCAACTAAAACACACAAACACATATACTACAAATGGTCCTTAAGTCTGGAAATGTTTGATCTCACTCATAACTAGAGAAATGAAGTTAAAGCTATACTGAGATACCAATTCCCACCTTTCTGTGAAAACGTAAAGCTGTGACATTATGTTCTGAGAAGCTATGAAGAAATAAGAATGCACACACTGTACGAAAGTAGTTTCTTCTTTTAGAGGAGAAACTGGTCACATCCACATATGCACCTAACATCGCGGATCTCCAGAGAAAGGCAAAACAAAACTGCAATCAAGCCAGGCCTGGTGGCACAGACATGTAATCTCAGCACTCTGGAAGGCTGAGGAAGGAGAGTTGCAATTTCAAGCCTAGCCTGGGCAATTCAGTAAGACCCTGTCTCATAATTTAAAAATATAAAATGGGCTAGGGATGTAGAGAAGGCCCTGAGTTCAATCCCCAGTACCACATACATATATATACATACAATTTTAAGAACCTACAATCAGATACTATTCCACAGCCACAAAGATGACAACTATATGTAAAAAAAAGGAAAGAAAAAGCTTATTAAGGATATAGACAGGGGCTGGGGATTTAGCTCAGCGGTTCTGCTGCCTGTCTCACAAGCACAAGGACCTGAGTTTGATTCCCGGAACCAAAAAAAAAAAAAAAGAAAGGATATAGAGAAAACTAAAAACTGTGTTTTACTGGTGGGAACATAAAATGTAGTCACTATGGAAAACAGAGGAATGGCTCCTTCAAAATGAACTGAATTACTGTGTGCTCCAGTGACCCCGCTCTTCTGGGCATGGGTCCCACAGACCTGACAGCAGGGACTTCTGCAGGTATCCACACATCAGTGGTCACAGCAGCATGATTCAAATTGCCAAAAGATGGAAACAACCCCTCAGTGGAGGACTGAATAAACACAATCTCATCTATACATACTACGCGATAGTCTTACAGAGGAGGATGTCCTGACAACCCTACAGGTGGACCCTGAAGACAGTGTAAAGTGAAAGAAGCAGACATGAAAGAATAAATACTGTAAGGTTCCACTTATAAGAGACACCTAGAACAATCAAATTCACAAAACAGCAGCTAGCAGGGCTGTGGGGAGAAAGGAATGGGGAGATCCGTAATGAACTCAGGGTCAGTTTGGAGCCTTCCTAGAAGGCCGGAGAACGGCGGTGACCGCAGATGATATGACAGTGCTGAAGGCCACCAAACACCTCGGAACGGTCACCCCTTCAACGCCTAGTGCTCCGGTTGTGAAACACACATAACGGAGGATAAATTTTCTTCTTCAAATTCTTGTTCCTTGAATCTTCCTAGGTAACACATGAATTTCATGTAAAAATTTAAAAATTGCAATCTGCAGCCCAAATGGGTTAAAATGGAAAATTTTATGTGTATCTTGCTTCTAAAAAAAAAAGTCACAGTATGTAAGAAAGTCAACTCAACAGCCCAAATAACCACATAAGCCTCGTTTAAAAGCAGACAAAGGACCTGAATAGATATTTTCCCAAAAATATAACCATGACCAACAGGTATGAAAGGATGCTCAACATCACTGACCATTAGGGAAACACAAATCCAAATCACAATGAGATATTACCTCACACCTGTTAGGATGGCTATTATCAGAAAGATTTTTATAAATGTTTTCAAAGATGTAGAGAAAAAAGAACTCTTGCACACTCTTAATGGGAATGTAAATTAGCACACCCACTATGGAAAACAGGTCCTAAGAATGAAACATAAAACTGGCATCTCCTCCAGCAATCCCACTGCTTGGTATGGACCCCAAAGAAATGAGATCAGTACTTTGAGGAGGTGCCCACACTGCCATGTTCATCACAGCATCATTCACCATAGCTAACATGTGGACCCCACAATCTCCCTGTTCTAAGCGAATGAATGAAGAAACATCAGAGATCAACCTGCAGAAGTGAAATAAGCCAGACTGACTTGTATGTGGAATCTAAAAAGTCAAATACAGAGAAGCAGAGAATATAATGTTGGTTCCCACAGGCAGAGTAGGACAGAACTGGGGAGAAGTCAGAAAGGGTACAAGCTGTACTATTACAGGATGAAAAGTTCCAGACACTCAATCTACAGCATGATGACCAGAGTTAATAATGCTGAGTCATACAATGAAAGTACACACAATTTTCATTTTTAAAAACTGTCACAAAAATTCCACATTATCACTTTTAGGAGAGTCCCTGAAAATATATCTCCAACAATATGAAAATACATGAGCACAAGGTTACTCATTCACTGTAGCACTGTGAAACACTGCAAACAACCTAAATGCCTCACAAGGAAAAGCAGCTGGATTATGCAGCGATGAAAAAAAAGGATCTCTACAAAATGACATGGAGTGCTTTCTAGGATATGTTAAATGAAGAGAGCAAAGAGAAAGAGTGCCTCTAACATGGTGCCTCTCTTGGAAGAAAGAAAAGGAAATAAGAAATATATAAGTACCTGATCACTTGTACAAAAAGAAGCAAAGAAAAGGAAAACTAGAAAAAAATTAAGAGTGGCTACCAGGGGGGTCAGGAAGGGTATGGAAAAGAGTAGGACGCATGGGGAGGACTCACATCTTTCACTGTGGATTTTTAAAAATTCTAACATTTAGAGCCACATTATTATTTTGTTTGTGTTTTGTGCTACTGGTGTGTCTAGGGTTTACCACACAGCCGCCAGCCCATCCCCCCTTTTATTGTTTATTTCAAGACAGGATCTCATCAAGTTGCCCAGGCTGGGCTCTAATTTGGGATCTGCCTCCCTAGCTTCCCAGAGTGCTGGGACTATAGGCGTGCACACCATACCCAGTTTGAAACAGATTTTTAAAGTCTGCAAGAATAGGCGAAATAGCTGGGCATGATGGCATACGCCTGTAATCACAGCACTCGGGAGGCTGAGGCAGGAGGATCACTGTGAGTTCCACGTCAGTCTCAACTATATAGTGAGACCCTGTCTCAAAAAAACAAAACAAAACAAAACAAAAAAAAATAGGCAAAACAAGCCCCAAATTAAATACTAGAAAAAACAACTTAGCTATTCTAAAATGGATATCATAACCATACTGAAAGCAGGTCAGAAAAGGGGAAACAGATCCAGGCAACAGGTGAACACAGTACTTTGACTATGACCTCAAAAAGATCTGTGAATTACTGTGAACTCCAATTAGGTTTATTTTTCATAGTGGTATGAACTCATAAATCTGAAGCTACTATAAATGTATTCAAGGATTAAGAAATTATTTTCTTCTTGTTGTTTTGTTTTGAAACAGGGTCTTGCTATGTAGTGCAGGCTGGCCTTGAAATCACTACGTTGCCCAGGCTGGCCTCAAACTCATAGCAACCCTCCTGCCTCAGCCTCCTGAGTGCTAGGATTACTGGCGTGCACCACCACACCCTGCTTAAGGAATAAGAAATTAAATAAATATATTGTGGGTAATGGAGCCAAATGTCTTACTGATGGAAATTACAAATGTGGAAAGGTAGAAGGCCAAACCGAACCCTTCGAGAATTAGATTAAAATTGGAAGTTTCTGTCTGATTGTAGTGGTTAAGAACAGGTGTGTGCATATAGACAAACGTGCAGGTCCCAGCACTCTACTGAGGTCCTTGGAGCACTGATAGCCCAGCAGCAGGGAACACATCTGCCGCTCAGACAGTGGTTTCTAAATGCCGTTTACCAGTCAATGAACAAGAGCTCCCAGGGAAGCGGCCGATGCCAGGTTTGAGCCAGGGAAAGAATAAGATGAGTCTGTAATGCCTTACTGTTCCAGAAATTAAAGAAAGAGAATAACTATGCAGTTATTTGAGCATCCAAATAAACAATAATACTAATGAAATAGTATTCATGAAAAATAAAACTAAGTGAATGAAAACGGAGAAGGGAAAGTTCTTTCTGACACCAGAAGGTGGGCTGATAAATAAAAAGAATGGAACTGGAAAATCATCATTCAGCAACAACCACAATAAAAACTTGCAGCAAGAATCATCAGTGAGTGATAAAACTGCTGGGTAGGAAGTGTGATGAGGAACAGAGTCATCTCAAAGTATCTGTCATGGCTGGGCCTGGTGGCACATGCCTCTAATCCCAGTACTCGGGAGGCTGAGGCAGGAGGATCACCCTGAGTTTGAGGCCAGCCTTCGCCACAGAGTGAGTGAGTTCAAGGCCAGCCTAAACTACACCGCAAGATCCTGATTGATTTGATTCAAAAAACCAAGTACCTCTCAGAAGATAATTAACCACAGGAGAAAAAACAGTTACTACAGTGAAGATCCAGTTTTTTTTTGTTTTGGTACCAGGAATCAAACTCAGAACCCTGCACCAAGGGGGCAGCACCACTGAGCTAAATCCTTGGCCCAGTGAAGGTCCACTTTAAGCAACTGATTAGAGTTAACACCCTCTAAGAAGGACACAATGGCACATTTGGACTATTTTTTGCCAAAAATGCATAATATGAATATGATGAACAGGAAACATCAGACAGACCTACGATGAGGAGCATTCTATAAAGTAACAGGCCTGTACACTTTGAAAAGGCCAACGTCATCAAAGACAATAACTAAAGAATGCTTCCTAATTAAAGGAAATTAAAGAGAAAAACGCCTAATGCTAACTAAGATTGGATCACCACACGTTATATATGTGTATCGAGTCATTACACTGTATCTCATAAATATGTACAATCTTTAAAAATAACTTCGGGGGGAAAAAAAGCAGGCAAGACGACTAAATGCATCATCTCTGACTCAATCTTGTACCACAAAAAAAAAAAATTTGTTGTTTTCCTTTACTAAAGGGACAAATGGTGAAATTTTAACAAAGGTTACAGATTGGGTAATAGAGGTCCACTGATGTTAGGGTATTGATTTCCACCAGTGGAATGTGCTATGTAAAAGAATACACTTGTTTTCAGGAACACTGAAATAGTTGGAGGTTAGAGAAGCCTGGTTTTATCTGTAAAAAAATTTTTTTTTTCTACCAAGGATTGAACTCAGGTCCTTGCGCTTACAAGGCAGGCGGCGGAAGCACTGAGCTAAATCCCCAGCCCGTCTGTAACTTTTAAGTACTTCAGAAATACTGAACACATATACGTGTGTACAGAGACAGACGAAGAGCAATATAAAGTAAAAGTGTTAACATTTTAACATTCGAGGAATCTGGTTCAAGGGTATATGGAATTCTTTGTTCTAGTCTGGAACTCTTCTAGTAAGTCTGAAAATGTTTCAAAACAGTAGCTGTACAATGCGCTGCGATTCCTTCAGAACCTCTGCCAGAGCCAAGCCCATACCTGGCCTTGTGTGAGGAAATTGGCCATCAGTGCGCCCTTCACAGCGTTCTCCATGCTGCAGTCTGAGAAGATGATGAGTGGAGATTTGCCGCCAAGTTCCAAGGTAACAGGTTTGATTCCTTTAGCTGACAACTCCATGATCTGTGGAGCAAAAACAAAGCATTCAGAGGAAGCTTGACACTGGTTAGGTTGACAACTGTATTAACCCTGACCCTACAAAGCCACTGACAGCTGTATATGACCTGCTGCCTTATTCTCAATATACTTTGCCCTTCATCTATTTAATTCTTTCTTTTCTTTTTTCTTTTGGTACCGAGGAATGAACTCGAGACCTTGCTCTTGTGAGGCAGGCAGTGGAACCATTGAGCCAAATCCCTGGCCCTTCACCTATTTAAAATACTCTTTTCCAGGCAGGGGATTTAGCTCAGTGGCACCTGCCTCCCAAGCACAAGGTCCTCAGTTTGATCCCCATACCAGAAATAAATAAATAAATAAATAAATAACTTTTGCACAAAACGAAAGAGAGCCCACAGAAGTACACTGTGAATGAACAAAGAGTTCATTTTAAACAGTGACGCTGAACTTTTTAGAGCTTTTGATGACACAAACAGCTCACTATGGCACATGGGACACAGGTTCACCACCACTGATTTAAAACATATTGTTGTGGGGCCAAAGATTTAGCTCAGTGGTGCCGCCGCCTACCTTGCAAGTACAAGGACCCGAGTTTGAGCCCCGGTACCTAAAAAAAAATATATATATATACTGTTGATTGCCAGGAATTCTCTTCTGTGGCCATTACTGTGTTTAGGGCTGACAGAGCTCAGAATACAAATTTAGGTCATAATAATGAATCAGAAATAACCTAAGAGAAGTCCTCTTCCTCCTATCCATGGAGTTAAACAGCCAAACAACACAAGCGGCAGCCCAGGCCCGTGCCCTCAGACACGTCACCACCTCGGGCAGGACCTGAACCTCCACTTGACCCAGCACAGATTCCCCACCCACGCTCTCTCCCCTCCGGCTTCACAGGATGCTGTAGTCCTCAGCCCAATAGAGCCTCCTGCCCCATTCCTTATATACAGGTCAGCTCCAAATGCATGCCGGGTAGGACTGGCTCTGGTGACTGTGTTAACCGGCACTGGCTTCGTCTTCACCTTCATGCCGGTGGGCACACTTCCAGTGAAGGAGACTTTGGCCACGTCGGGATGCTGACACAGGAACTGGCCAGTGGCTGCCCCGCCTTGCACCACGTTGAAGAGCCCGGGAGGCACACCCGCCTGGGTGTAGACCTCGGCCAGGAGCACAGCAGAAACCGGCGTGAAGGGGGAAGGCTTGAAGACCATGGCATTACCTGCATGAAGCCAAGACACCACGCAAGACTGGTGATCTTCTCGGGGTGGGACTAGGACAACCTGGGTCCCGACCCCCTATCAAATCCTACACTAAAGCCATTATTAGTAATAGACACATCTCGTCCCGCCTGCCTTGGATTCCCTCATTAAACAGACCACATACCTGCCCGGGCTCAAACAGTTATACCGCACACTGGCACATCAAGGCCTTTTCATATGTAACCACTTACCAACCCAATTATTTAAATACGGGATGACCAAAGACTGCACATGCTTTTCGTTAACTTTTTAAATATAACAGAAAATATAAAAATGACAATTTTTTAATCAAATTCATTCAATACAAAAATCAACTGACTGAAATGACCCCTGTCCGAGCAATGCTTGGGACAGTAAGTGCGTAAACAAGTGTGATGCCCAAATGATGCTTGGGGTAAACTGTTAAGTGGCTAAGATCTAGCATCTTCAACAGTAGAATGAAGTATGGTCAGTTCCACTCATATACATACATACATGTACATACATAATGTATGTACATGTATGTATTATGTACATGTATGTATATATATAATACACACACACACACACACACACACACACATATATATGCACTACTTGTTTTGTTTTCTGAGATAGGGTCTTACTATGAGTCCAGGTGGCCTTGACCTCACAGCAATCCTCCTGACTCAGCCTCCCAAATACTGAGGTTACAGGCATGCACCACCGCACCTGGCTTAAGTCTCACTTTGTAAAAGTTGAAACCGAAGACCAGAAAGGTTCATTTGAGAGAGTATGCAAGGCTAGAGATTCAATCCTGACACTCTCTCCTCTCTCACCCGGCCTCTCCACAGCAAGATGCTAAGACAGGTACCTGCCCTAGAGACACAGGCAGCGCCTCCACACAATGTCCTAACAGCCATGCTTTTCTAACATTATGAGTTTTTCTAAGATCAAAATAGGCTTTTGCCCCTACAGATTCTTTTCTTTAAATAGTATAATAAAACCATTTTTGTTATGCCACAGCCAAAGCTACACTCATGGGAGCCTTGTTTACCACTTCTTAAAAACCAATTAAGAGAGCTGGGGATTTAGCTCAGTGGTTCTACCGCCTGCCTCGCAAGTGCAAGGACCTGAGTTTGATCCCCAATCAACCAAAAAAAAAAAAAAAAAAAAAAAAAAAAAGAACAAAACAAAAAAAACAAGTTTATCTTCTGCTTTCTAAATCAAGTCAAACTCTTCTATGTTAGAAATTATTGTCCAGAAAGCACAAAATGAATTCAATTTAGCAGGAAAAACTGTTTCTGTATTCAAAAATAAATTAGAGCCAGCAGTGATGGTGTATGCCTATAATCTCAGCATTCTTGGAGTCTGAGGCAAGATGATCACAGATCTGAGCCCAGCCTGGGCAATTCAGTGACCTAGGGAGACCCCTTCTCCAAGGATTAGAAGGCTGGGGCTACAGTTCAGTGTAAAGGCCCTGGGTTCAATCCCCAGTACTGCAAAACAAAAACCAAAGAAATTAGAATTCCCAGCATCTTAAAATAAGTAAACACATACATAAATTGGACAAATAAATCATGGCAATATTGAGAGATATGTGTGTCTTATTAAACAGGGGTGTGGAGGCTGGGGAGCACCTCTGTGGAGGCAGCTTAAACCGGCAGGTCTCTAAGGCAGACTCTGTAGGGCAGCAGGCAGTGGGTGGTGTTGAGGTTAGGAGGAACAAGGCAGGGCAGGAATGGGCCGTGTCCTCTGAGGTCTGGAAGTCCCACGGCGGACCCCTCTGCCTTGAAGTGTGCGCTGATGGAAAGGTGAGGGCAGAGAAGAGGGCTCGAGTGCAGGGCTCCCGGTAGGTCTGATTCCCTCTTACCGCAGGCCAGAGCCGGGGCTGACTTCCAGCAGGCGATCTGGAAGGGGTAGTTCCAAGCTCCGATCCCCACACACACCCCAAGGGGCTCCCTGCGGGTGTAGCCAAAGGATCCGCCAGGGAGCTGGATGTGCTCACCTACAGGGTGAACAGAGGATGAAGGGAAAACATGTCTATGCTCGCCAAGTTTGACCAACGGGTGCCCCACCCTGACCCACACTCCAGACCAGAGCCTCACAGCTCCCACGACCCAGGCTCCCGGAGCTCCACACTTTTATGCCTCCGCTCACTGGGACGCTGGCTTCCCCGTTCTGTCTCCACAGAGAATCCTGCTTATCCTTCAAACACACATTGACCCCGCTAACTGTAAAACTTGCCTGAGCCTCCACTGGGTAGCAAATTATAAAGAAAATGGAAATAAGGGGTGGCCTCTGCAGCAGGAGCAGCACCTCCAGCCTGTGGCTCCCAATACCCCGCAGGGCCCTACAAACCTTTTCATGTGGTTTTTTTGTAAACTTTGGAACTTTTTACAGAGTTTTTGCTAAGCTGGTGAAGCTGGTAACTACAGTATGCTCACTCTTGTAAGAAGTGGTGTTTCAACAACTTTACACCAATCCAGAAGTCAGAGATCCATCTCCAGTTTAAATAAGGAAAGGTAAAATAATTCCTGGGTTACCCGAGTAGAAGGGGATGAATACAGGACGTGAACCCAGGCCCATACTCATTCCAAGTCTTTGCCCTTTGTCACCAGGCTCTGCTCTTCTACCCTTTGTCGGCTGGTCCCAGAAGGGCAGGCAAGAGCTTACCAGCCAGGGATCCGGCCAAGCCTGCAAAGTACTCCAGGCACTGCCAGGAAGTGTCGATGTCCCAGCGGGCCTCGAAGATGGACTTGCCATTGTTGATGGTCTCCGCGGTGGCGATTTCATCCTTCCGCTCCTGTAAGAAAAACAGCCCCATTTACTACCAAGACGCGTCTTGACATAGCTAAGTACAATTCATCGTTAGGCTTTTCACAATTGAAATAGCTTACACTATAAATGAAAATAAATGGAATGGCAGTGTTACATACAGAAAAGATACAAGCTTACTGCTAAACAACAGTTCAAGTTCAGTAGGTGATAAACATTTCTGACCGCAGTCACGATCAGTCTGAAATAGTACACCGCGAGAAATGATTATGTGTGTCTGTGCACTCACAGGTATGCAGGTTTGAGCATGTATAATAAGGAAATGGTGTTTAGAGAAGGTCTATGTGAAAAGGAAAAGAATATCAGACAGAGCACAGACATCCTTAGATACTATTTAGGACCAATAAAAATCATTTCATAGCGAAGGAACCACTGCCTAGGAGGACATAATAGCCCAACGTGTAATAGGAGAAAATAAAGAACAAAGTACAATAACTTACAATAAAAATAGCTTACAATGACCACCACCTTTGGTCTATCAGATTAAAACTAATTTTTAACAACAAGGGAAAATACCTGTCAGGAAAAAATTGTCCATAAATATTTCGACATTCCTGCATGGCGTGGGCTTTCTGGGCAAAGAACACTGGCAGGTGGGTTATCACAAGCCCTGGAGGGCAGATGCGGTGCTGCCCTCGAGATAAGAGGCCATCAGAGTAACGTGCAAGTGTAACATCTCTACTTCCTGCTCCTGGGTACATCTACTTACACTTGGAGGTAAGAATCTCAGCGACCTTTCTCTCTGGACTCGAGGTTTGCTTAATGAGTAACTGCTCTCTCTCGTCAGAGGACAGAGTCGGCAGATGTGACAGCAGCCCCTATACATGCTAAGTCACAGAATTTTAGGGTCTTCTCCTGTGGTCCAGCCCATTCCACAGATAGTTTACTGAAATAAACCATCATTTTTTCTAATCCCTGAACTTTCATGTCTCCTGTCAGAATCTCCGTACAGGTCCATGTGTATGTGTGTACGGACACTCTTGCAAGCAACACTCGGAACCTGTAGAGTTTCTTTCTTTCTTTTTTTGGTACCAGGATCCAACTCAGGACCTTGTGGTTGCAAAGCAGGTGGCAGAACCACTGAGCTAAATCCTTGGCCCATTCTTCACAGTTTCTAACACACTTATGACAAAAAAATCACCAGTCCTACCGCTTGGAGAGATCCATGATTCATATGCTGGTGTGCATTTTTCTGAACATTCAAACTTTCTGTAATGAGCATCTACTATTTTTGCTTTTTTAATTTCTTCGTGTTGTTTATCTCAGCCTACTAGTACATGAATGCAGTAATGTTTACACTGCATGTGGGAGGCTGGTACAAGAACAAAACACACCTTCATTCCTTTTTCACCCCAACCCTTCCCTCCCTCCTCCCTCTGCTCACCCCTTCATCTCCTTCCATTTATTATTATTTATTTTTGTACGTCTCTGCAGTACGTGGTGCTGACGTTCCTCACGGGGAGTGCTACACGTACATAACATATCCCAACTCCTTGTTTTCATCCCTCAACCCCTGCCTCCCTCCCCTTCCATCAATCTCTTGACCTCCTCCCCTTCCTACTTCGTATCTATCTTTTAAAACTATAAAAATTTTTTAGGGCTTTTTTTTTTTTTTTGTAAGAAAGAACATCTACGAGCCTATAAAATTTACCCAGGCAATTAAAGTATAAAACAAATCTGAAAAACAAAGGTAGATTTCAATTTCAGTAGAAGAAAAGTGCACAAAGCAAGAAGCCGGTAGACAACCGTACATTAAAAAGAAAGGCAGACAAGCTACCAAGGGGACACTGTAATTCGGTGCAAATACGTAGAAGAAAACCTGCCAATGGAGCTGTTCAAGAGCCAAGAGCTGGGTGGGAATCGCTAAGAAACCATGTACACATACCAAGGTGAGCACGTGGAAACGTTCCCATTTCACACAAATGTTTACCCTGCCGTTGCATCAAAGTCAACCCGGGAGAACACGCAGGGGAATGCCAGAGTTTTCTGGAAGGGAATATATGGATACACACCCTTATAATTCTGGCAGCTTCCAGGAGGATCCGGCAACGCTCCATGCCAGATTTTTTACTCCATATTTTGAAGGCAGCCTTTGCATTCTGAACAGCCAAATTGACTTCTTTTTCTCCTGAACATGTAAAAGTAGCTATCACGCGGCCTACAGAGAATAAAAGGGTCAGTTTCATGTCAAATTATTGCAATACATTTAAATAAAATCCTGTGTCAATGTTTTTACGGATAGTTTCATTCAGGGCTGGGGATTTAGCTCAGTGGTTCTTGCCACCTGCCTCACAAGCACAGGGGACCTGAGTTTGATCCCGGGCACCAAAAAAAAAAAAAAAAAAAGGCTAGTTTGATTCAGTGAGCCCTTCTATACAGCAGTTCACTGACCGGTTAGCATCTGATAAAAGTTACAGACCTGGCTCCAGAAAAAAACTACTGAACTATGTCACAGAATTACAGAGTCCATGTCCCTTGTCAAAACACAGCAGAGAGTTCAGAAAACTTCTCTATTTTACAGTTGAGCTTACTAACATTTATTTCCTCTAGGAAATAAGCTCTCCTTAACACTGTCTCAGAATCTCAGGGGACTTACAATAAAAATCAAGTTAAAACTAATCAGGCTACAGGTTACAAGCTCTGATTTTTAAATCCCTTCTCTGTGTTCTAAGTTGTTCCATACTGATATTTTATGAATATGCCTAGTAAACAGTAATAACTCAAAAAGATATACTGAAAAGCAAGAAATTCTTTTTCTTAAATAAAAAATTTCAATATTTTTACTCCAACTTTTTTTTTCTTATCCTTGTTCTTGGGCAAAATATGAAAACATCAATTTTTCAATCATTGTAAGTGCTATCAACTCTATCAACAAATGCCTATTCAACAGTTCCTTTTCGCAAGAATTCCTGAAACTTTGTTTTCCAGAAAGATTTTAGAAACACACACACACACACACACACACACACGTTTGTTGAAGCCAGGACCTTTGCACTGAGCTACATCCCCAGCCAGACCACCCCCACCTTTTTATTTTGAAACAAGGTCTCCATAAGTCATTCAGGCTGGGCTCCAACTTTGGATGCTCCTCCCTCAGCCTCCTAGACTGTACCACATGTTCTGTACAAACTGTTCTTTCTGTTACAAACTTGAATAGTTGATAAAGGCAGTGACTACCACAGACTTTGTAGGTAAAGAATAATTCCCATTACTTTTGTATTACTATGGGGAGGGGACAGAAAAGATGTTTCTTCCTCTTAGGCGAATTAAAGCTTTCCGGGTCTCCTTGGCCACTCCAGTTCTGACAAGTCACTGCTCTGTGACTTAGGGTGCATGGTTAGCCCTAAATTCTCCCATCCCTTGCAATCCAGCTGTACTCATCTGCATACATCTGCTCTTGTTCACACAAAACATTCACATTTGTTCCCCTAAACATTCAATGCAGGGCAGCAAAACAAACAACAACAACAAAAACACCCTCTTCATCCTTAGCTGGACACATTAAGAACTGAAGTTTAAAAGTTCCATTAGGCAGAAATAACTACATTGTGGAGATCTAATGTTCAGCACAGGGACTGTTAGGTCACTCGAGGCTGTCAGACGAAGGCAGAGAGAGGCACTCAGCGAACAGAAAGGAAAGGCAGGTTTATTCTCTAGTGGGCCAGGGGAAGTCACCTTTCAGAGTCTGACCCCGATTCTAAATTGTTTTATTTTATTTATTATTATTATTTTTTGGTACCAGGGATTGAACTCGGGTCCTTGCACTTGCGAGGCAGGCCACCGAACCGCTGAGCTAAATCCCCGGCCCCTAAGTTTGTTTTAATTTTTATGTTGTTTTTTAGGCAGGGCAGGGAAGCAGGGCTTGGCACAGGGGCAGGGAGGTACAGGCAGATGCTGTTTCAGCAGTTCATCTTTCCAGCACAGTGACCTTTGTGGGTTTAGCAGGAGGGGCAACTCTTGATTGAGACTGTCATCTTTTCTTATTTCAGGACCACAGTTAATAATCTTGCATTGTACACTTAAGATTTGCTAAGAGAATAGGTTTTTGTTCGTTTAGAGGCAGGGTCTCGTTATGTACCTCAGGCTTGCCTGGAACTTGATCTTCCTGCCTCAGCCTACTGGGAGGTAGGATTACAGGGGTGTGCACCACCCCGGCATCACTATCAAGAAAAAGGGTAACTGTCTATAGGTAGCAGATTTGTTAATGAGTCTGGCTGTGCTAGTCATTTTGAAAGGTACACATATATGAAAACAGCACGCTGCACAGTGTCAGTACATACAAGTCCTTATCTGTCAGCAAATGAGGGAGCCTAGATCAAGGTGGGATTTTTCCTTTCCCAATTCTGATTCCTGCGCAGAAATACTGTATCTTAGCACTAGAAAACAGAGACAAAATCCACATTCGTGGTCCATGGAGACCGCCAAGCAAGCACTTCTCCACTCCCCCCAGCACCACTTCCGGGTCCTGTTGCAGGCCTCCCAGGCACACTGCTGAATACCTCAGAGCAGGCCTAATTCAAGCTCCCCCCCACTGAACCCTAGGCCTTGGCACTGAGCTACTTCCCTAGCCCTTTTTACTTTTTATCTTGAGACAAGGTCGCGCAAAGTCACTCGTTTCGAGGGTGGCGTTGAACTTGCGATCCTCCAGCCTCGACCTCCCACAGTGCTGGGGCTCCCGGCGCGCACGCTGGTGATTAACGGATGCGCAACTCCGGTTGCCGCTCAGCTGCCTCCCAGCAGGCTCCCAGCTCTCCTCCTCCACGGCCCCTCGCGTCCGGCCCAGTGCTCTCGCGCTCTCCG